CCCCCCAAAACGGAAAGAAAGGTAAAAATAAAATAAATAAAAATGTAGACAGATAAAAACGTAGAAAACATCAAGGACAAATAAATAGAAAATCAATAAGGACTAAAATGTAATAACAAAATTAAATAATACGCAAGAAACACATGTAAAGAAAAGAGTGCCGTGTAAGTTTATATCCTTCTATTCATAACTAGCGTGAAATAATAAAATAGCCTAAGGCGATGTTAAACTAAAACGTTTGGACAGCTTCCCACATGAGCAGGAAAACGTCGCGTCTTGTCTTTCAATCAATTTCGAACCTAGAGTTACAGATAAATTACACCGTTTCTTGATTCAACGAGTGCTTTTATAAACGTTTCCTCTGTTTTCTAGTTCAAAGGCTTGCTTCAACAACCATGTGTTCCCGTCAAGTAAAATGTCATAAGCTGTCTCTTCGAGAAGTAAATCTGTTAGTTTGATACTGCACCCTTAACCAAAAAAAAAACAACCCCCCTCCGAACAAACCTACTAACCAACCGATTTCTTTTTTCTGTCCAACATCAGATTGGAATAATACACAATAACAATTTTTTGGGATATATAATATCATATTCTCAGTATTAGATTCTTTTAATTTGGATGAGAAATCGTCGAACGAAAGGACAAGATTTAACAAGCTAGGGGCAACAACCGGTAAATAATTAATTCAACCCTAGAGAATTGTGCACAGTTCATTCCCCTTTAAGGCTAACACCAACATTCTTGCTGCTCCGATGTCCGACCCCTAAATCAATGCTCGTTGTCCTCAAAGATGTTTTTGTTTTGATGGGTGGTAACTGGGGCATACCTGTCAGCAATGTTTTTTGAATATAAGTAAAATTCGACGCCATCGTTCTTAAAATAACGTTTTTGTGGAAGTAAAAGAAATCAAATGAGGTAGTGCTTGATGAAGCCCACTTGGGACGCACAATATTAAAAACAATCAGGAAACGACAAATGCAGTTTTTGGGATACCTGAATAGACATAAGGGTCTTGTACATCTAGCTCTCACTGGAAAAATTGAAGGCAAACGAGGAAGGGGTAGGCCCAGAACAATCTACTTGGGGAGCCTAAACAAATGGATAACAGGGAGAGATCAGGGAAACGTGGCTTTTTTTAGAGCATCCGAGCAAAGGAATGAATGGAGAACC